CTATCAACTTATTGTACTTTTTGGACAGCCTGTCATCAAGGTTTAATAATGTGTGACTCCTGAGTCCAGCAACTCTCAGATGAAGCTCAAGGTGCACTTTACAAAATGACACTAGATACACCAGACAAGATTTAACAGCATTTTCTTTTACCTCTGAGCAGATATCACAAGGAAAGTCTGCTGTGGCTCTGGATTGAGGCTTTGGTTTGGACTAATTTCTTAAACTCAGCAGCTAACAAAGAGATCACAGTGTTAACTTGCAGTTCAAGCTTTGTGGATAATGTCCTTTTGAACAGTGGGCATTGGCAAATGTCACTGCTGTTCTAGTATCTGTGGACATATGCACGGCAGAAGTTGTGTCCACATGGGAATGACACTGGTTCAGTAAAGACATCCAAACCAGCAGAACACAGGAACTTCTCTAACAGCAGACTGCTGGTCGTTGCCATATCTGGACAAGAACCAATCAAAAATACAACTCTCACAAATTTTCAGATCAATAGACCAAACAAACTGTCAAAATTGTGATTTCAATTTAATATTTTATCACATGTGCAACAAAAACAAATCAAGAAAATGGAAACATGGAAGCATTTAACATACCAGTAAAGCAGCAAGTTGTGAAACCAGCTGTGTAAAAAAAAAAAAGTACATATGTCACTGGTTAAGTCTTCTCTTTAACTGAAGATGGGCAGGAGGAATTGCTTTGAGGATTATTTATACTGGATTAATAAGATCAGTATTAGACTATTGGTGTGTGCTATGTGGATCAGCAGCAAAAACATTTCTCAGAAGATTGGAGTGTATAAATAGATTATATTCAATATCAGGCTTTAAGATGGTGTACAGGTACATTTAGGACTTCAACAGCAGCATTACAGGTGGAAATGGGAAAAATGCCTCTAAATGAGAAGGACACAACTGGCAATAAACTACTGGCAAATTTACAGGGACCTAGTCAAAGTCATCCAACAAAGGACATTTTAAAACCCTGCTGGGAAAAGGAGAAGAGAGAAACAAAAAACTCTGGATGGATAGTGGAACACAAAGCAGTGGAACTAGGAATATCTCAGCTAAATGTCAGTCCATCAGTACCTTTGCCAATAATGCAACCTTGTATTTGTCCTGACACTCAGTAGACTTTACATTACTAGAAAAGAAGAACTCAAAAAAATTGTTTATTTTTGATTCACATACAGTAGTATACAATCCTACACAATTACATTCCAATCTACACAAACACAACAAAGAACTTGAAGCTGATAAAATAGGAGTGGCATTTTATGTTCCAGAGTTTCATCTTAAGTATAAGGAAAAGGTTCAGGAAAGGATTATACACAGGAGAAATGACTGAATTATGTAAACTGGTTAATGATGAACTTGAATCTAAACAAACACGTGTCCTCAGTGGTCTTGTATCCTCCATCCAGTGTGATGCTAAGACAGCAGACCAAACATCTTAATTGCACTATAATATAATAATACTACAAATAAAATGTAGAATTCAAATGACGGGACTAGCAGTATTATTTTTATGGGTACCAGCACATACTGTTATTAAAGGGATAAAAAGTAGCAGACAAGGTTGCAACAAAAGCCATAAAAATGTATTATATCAATATGGCAGTTAACTTCACTGGGGTAGAAGACAAGAGCATTATTAAGCAGAGGTTGAAGGAAAAGTGGCAGAAGAAATTGGAGGAACAAAGGAAAGGATGGTGATTTTAGATGATTCAGAAAAAGTAATAGAAATGAGATGTACGGGAAGAAACGAGAGACAAGATAATAGCATCAAGATTAAGATTTGGACCTAATGGACTTAACAGTACATTATTTGAAACAGGAAAACTTAATAGGCAAATGTGAATATTGTGGGTATGAAGAGATATTAGAACCTGTCATGTTACTCTGTCAGAAATATGAAACACAAATAAAACACCAAATTCAAAACCTTAGAACAACTGAAGTAAATTATGATCTCACAGATGTCTTGCCAAAAAAACAACAAAAAAACTCAATGAATGCTACCAATGTATATGCTTTATTATATTAGATAAATAATCATGACCCACACTCCTTACCAATTGCTGGTATTTTGACATTTGACTTTGCAGAAGTAGTTTATCCATAAGTACCATCACTATTTTACATCGGTGCTTATTCATGAGGAGAAGGGAATAGTTGGTATTTTCCACAACAGGAGCAGAAGTTATGCTAGCTGCTATGATGCTATAAGCTAAAATGCTATCATGCTCACAATGACAAAGACAACAGGTTGATATTTAGCAGGTTTAAGGTTCACCATCTTAATTTTTCATGTTAGCATGTTACAATTTGCTAATTAAACATAAAGTACAGCTGAAGCTGATGGTTACACCATGGGTTAGTTTTAAGGTAAGCTATTTGGTCACAGCACTAATTAAATATTTTGACCTGATGTACCTGTAGTATGTTTCATGACAATCCATTTAACAGTTGTTGAGATGTGTCGCTCATGGTGATGCTCAGTTTACGTCTTTTCATTTCTGTGTTTCTTGTAATTTGTTATCTTATCTTTGAGATTTTGCACCTGTCATCCTCATGAATGGTGCTGCAGATATCACAGGTGTTCTAATCTCTCCTTAACTTCATGCTGTCTCCAGGTGAGTCTGACCACCAGAGGTCAGGCACAACAAGCAGCAGCTAAGTGGTTCAAACCTTTGCTCCAAAACCGCTCCACTACTGGAAATTGAACCTGTGGTTTATACAAAACCACCGATTAACTATGCAAACAAAACATAGTATTTTTAACTATTATTTTACTGTGGAATTTAGTACCATTAACCATTTCAATTAAAACAGCCCCTCAAGTTAGACATATTTTCATCATTTTATATTAAAATTGACTGTTAACCCATTACTTTCACAAATTCTAATCATTTGTTGTCTTTTCTGTACACAGTTTCACCATGGAACAAACCGACTACCTGACTAGACAGACACACATCTAACTTGACTGGATGCGTTATAGTAACAAGTGTGCAATTGTTCTTTTTGTCCATCTATTATTTTTATCTATATTTTTTTTACACAGCCTTTTCTTTCTGTCACTTGCACAAGCGGACTTCAATGCACATTATACTGTATCTACTTTGTGCTTAACCAGTTTGTATCTGTCATGCTGTGCTGTTCTTACCCCTCTGTGGGAGAAAACATTAAGGACTTTGCGGGCTATAGAGCATGAGGAGTGATAAACTAACTACAGCAGAATGTGACTGGACACAGAGGGACTGGGTCTGCATAGAAATGAGCTGTTCTTAGGGGAAGCCACATACAGTATCTGTTTGTTCAATAATGTGTGACCATGCAAATATGAGAAAATATAAAATGTGTGGTTCAAATTCCTAAACATAAATTGATAATGTCATGTGATTTATTCATGTTCATGTTGGATTATGTTTTTGGGGATGGCGTAATGTTGTTTTGGTAGACTGATTGTCGCCGGTGCAGGTCACCACAGCAGAGTTCCTCCCCCTGCAGCTATCATCTACTCCTAAGAAAATGCAAGCTTATTGAATTACTGAGGCAGAAAAAGCAGCAAATGCATACTAAAAAGTCTGTTTTGACTGAAGTGGAACATAAAAAACATCACTAATCACATAGAGTGGGCAGCGTGGTGAAGCATCAGAGGGACATCGACCAGGTCTCTCAGTTGCTATATTTTTTTAGATATTATTGGCTTTTAAGTCATGAACCTGGTTACGCGCAGGGCTCAGATGAAATACAATCATGATTAATCATTTGTTTAGTGTCTGTGTTTCTCATTGACTTTATTTCTCTTTCACAAATCTCTTCATATAAATTTCAGTCTTGCAGATTTTGTGTGCAGCTGTATTTCACTGGTGATTGAATCACTTCTGAATAAAAAAGGCATAAGTCTACACAAATCAATGCAAATCTGCTCAGTGCCAAAATATCACATTACCATCTCTCCCTTAGGGGTGACAGAGGCACTGTGTACAGTCATTGTGTAGTCTACACAATCAAAATCATTTTGAAAATGATTGTTCTACTGTAACTGGAATTTGTAATGAGACACATCCATGTCAAAAGTGAGAGTTTCTAGTGTACATTATTACTGTAGACATAGATTTATGGAAAAACGGACTTTGCAACAACAAAAAAAAAAAAACCCTACACACTGAGTTTGAAACAAAGTTCACAGTCTGTGGCTACTCTCTCTTTGTCTCTGTTTATTCATGTACACTTCAGCATGAAATTCTGAAAGGGGAATGTGGTCACACTGTAACCATGGCTGTGCTGTCAGTGGCACAGTGGTATTCGGCCTGTTGGGGTGGCTGAGCAGGGTAGCAGATCCATTTTCTTCTGTCACTCCCCATTTGGGATTGTTTTTGCAAGTTCACACTAGCACTGCATTTAAAGACTGTCAGAAATATAAACTGGTTGTAAAATAAAAGCAAATAAATAATTGTATTGTGTTTTCAGCATTTCATATAGCCCATAATCCTATATCCTGTCTTATTAATACATTTTACAATTAAGAGATCTGATTAGTTAAAAAAACAGTTAATCTACAATTATACACTTATTGGCATTTACCAGAAAATATACACCAACGTTTGTATTTACCTATGTGTCTTTACAAGACATTTTTGTGCATGTGTGTGGGTGTCAGTAGTGCTTATATTACATATAGGTTGACTGTATTTTTCAAATGGGATTCATTGTGCATTACAGTTAATATTTATTGAAATGTTTACTTTGCATTTGTATTAATTGTACTTTGTAATTTCTGTATGTACATGCCCCAAGGACATCAGATGGAAAATAGCCTAGGGAGTAGCCTACTGTCGCTAAATCTAGTAACCAACAACGCATGTCTTCCCTTCGTGTCACATCAATGTGTACATAGTTCTTGGTAAATACATTTCATAAACATATATAGTTACTATAGCCTAAATTTGAAGCACAAAATACTGCTTGAGCTGCATGAACTTGCGATTTTAGCCCTCTATGGATTTGTAACTTGGAAAATACGAGTTGCACCCAAATGCAACATCCGCACAAGCCTCGGACACTGAAAGCAACAAGCTGGACTGGACCGAGCGCTTCCCGCTGTAGCACCGTGTAGTCGGAACTGACGGGAAAACAGCAACGAAACGAGGTTATTTGGCTAACAAAACGCTGGTTTGGTGAGTATGTTGTTGGCTACGAGGCACAAACGTTGGTTTTTTGATATAACGGACCGATAATTAAGCCAAACTTTGTACTGCACATCAACGACGCAGGTGGAGGGATGTGTCTATCTTCAGGATGCTCGAGCTTACAGCCCATCCCGAAAAAGGGAACGGGAAAGTTTGTCTTAACACGTAAATAACACGCATTTACCCTGAGATGTGTGTAACTTGTGACGCTGAAGGACAGTTGCAGTGGTCAAAGTCCGACATCTCTGAGGGAGGCCATGTCGTTCCTAGACCAAACCACGTCAGTAACATTACGCGACTGTTTCAGATGAGTTGGCGCATCTGGACGCACAACGCTCGTTTCACAACAATGGGAGGCCTTGTTAGCTTAGGTGTTGACCAGACATGTGTGTTAAAACGACTAGTCTATATTTACACAGAAACTAGCGTTGTGTATGGTCACAGGTGATTCATACGTGGACAGGACGGAAACTTTACTGTAGCTGCGAAGTCCTGAATAACATTAATGGCGGGTTATGAGACACTGCGCCCCTAGACACAGACAGGTAAAAGACACAGACAGGTAAAAGGCACAGACAGGTAAAAGACACAGACAGGTAAAAGGCACAGACAGGTAAAAGCCCCCCACCCTCCTCAATAGGAGCACGACTGGCTCATTAGAAGAGTGTTTTGGGTCTGTTTTTAGTTGTTTTGAGACTTTATTTTGTTGCTTTTGGATTTTTGTGGTCGTTTTGAGTATCCTTTTAGCCATACTGTGTTTAGGCCTATAGTTATAGGGATTTTACATCTCTTTGTGCTTGTTTTGCGACTCTGGTTGGTTGTTTTTACTTCATCTAAGTAGTCATTTTTCTTCTGTTTTTAAAATTCACTTTGCATCAGATGATGATTAATGATATTTTGCACATTTTTATTATTGCAAAATGTTTTCTTCACTCATAATGCTACAGAAATATGCTCTTTGGCATGCTTTGTGATACTAGCTGCATGGAAAAGCCATTACAGTAAGGTTGGTTTACCCATATTACACCAACAAACATTTTCTCTCATACTTTTAGTTCCTTTTTTCCTTGAGGATAGCTTGGTTTTATGTGCCAAGGTCTGCAGTTATGTCCATCTATGGGGTTTTTGCATTTACCCAAATATAATGGAAGTGAACTGAGTTTCTTCTGGGGTGCTCACAGCGCTGAAAATGACATTAATGAAATCAACACTGTCCCTAAATAGTCAACAGAACTTACTGAAAAGAACAGTAAAGTGAGCTAGTTTTTCTAGTACAGCTGTGGACTTTCCAGAGCAATAGAAAGGTAAGGCGTTTTTTATGCTGTGAACAACCCGAATGAAATTCTATTCCCCTCCACTGCACCTGGGTGAATTCTGATACATTATCTGAAAACCTGGCCAAATGAAACCAACATTCTTTGTAAGGAAGGCGGCCTTTCTAACAAGCTCACTATCTTAGTTTGGCAATCTAAAACTTTCCTCCCAAGCAAATGATTAATCAAACACATTTGGTCACAACAATCATTTATCTTCTCTTACTATCTGAGGCATATACAGTATATGACTCCCTGGCTAAAAAAAACACTATTTCCTTAGGTACTATCCACTGAAGGATAGTGTGTAGATCGATGTTATGGGCCTAAGTGCTTCCCATGCCATGGCCTTTTGTTCACAGAACCAACAATGTGTATGCTTAATTAATGGTTTGTGGTCTGTTCAGTGCTATGAATAATTTATAGATGTGGTTTTTTGAACATAAAATAAGATTATATTGGAGGCTGTACTAAGATGTACACCAGCAGATACCTTGATGATAAAAGTATAGCAGGAGATTTAATTAGGAAAAGGTCAAATTTAAAGGTCAGAGTAGCAGTTTAGCTACAGAAATGTGAGCTTAGCTTGTTAATAATGATTGAGGTTATTTTTTCACTCATACTCAAAGCCCCTTTGAAATTGATGTGATCAGCTGGAAATTTTGTGCACCTGGGGGAGTATAAATGTGAGAACAATAATTGAGTCATTTTCTTTTTTATAGCCTGTTTCTCTTGGTAAATGATACAAAATGTAAATGATGAATAATGACTTTAGCTTTTTGCTTTTTGTTATAGCATTTGGCAGGCAGCTGCGTTCTTTTGATAAACAAAATGGCTCTGATACTCTCCCTTACTGTGGCACACATTTTATACAGAGATGTCAAAATAAGCAGAGCTTTGCCATGAGTAGGTTTATTTGACTGAGTAAATTGGGCTGCTTCAGTTACCTACTGAAAGTCACTTTCGGCTTTCCCCGTTTAGGGGTCGCCACAGCGAATCGTCACACTGACGACTCGCATGTTGACATTTGGCACGTGTTTTACGCCGGATGCCCTTCCTGACGCAACCCTGATTCGAACCCACTAGCCTACCAGGGACAGCTCTCTGCTTCAGTTACCTACCAGCATCAGTATTTGTGTGCTCCTTTTATCAGTTTCATTTTCTTATCCCTCAGATAAAGATGATGGTTTTTGGGTTGTAGAGGCAGAACCTGAGTACTATTAGAAGGAAACTAATGCAGTTACTGTATATTCTCGGTTCACATTTGGAGTCATAAGCAATACAGATTTGCTTTTTATACAGTAAATTGTTATTTTGTTGCCAATTGTTATATTGATTTATGCTGCTAATGTCATAGCATTAACTAAATTAAAGTTGTAGCAGCTTTTTAAGCCTATTATATAAGCTTAAAATATTGCTGCATAGTTTATACTTCCCATTACCCTCTTTGTGTATAGAGAAACAAATATTCTTCTCCTTGTGTGTCTAGCTATCTACTGGCCTTTCAGAACTGCACTGGAGGAGGGAAGATGTCTGCGGTCTATAAAGGTGACCAGGAGGACTGGCTGACAGTGTGCCTCAAGTACCTGCTCTTTGTTTTCAACTTTCTGTTCTGGGTAAGTGGCAATAAGTGAGACCTCTTAAGGGAAAAAAAAACCCTTAAGACAGCTACAGTTGGTCAATTCATTTGTATTTACTTGCAGTGTGGTGCTCAGACAGTATTAAATGCTTCGCAATTACACTGACAGGTCTCAGTGACTGTAAGTGTCAGCATGTTTTTAAAATAGAGATAATGACAGGGTAATTTTCCCTAGAGGTAATTAGTGAGTGGAAAATCACAATTTTGTGCTTATAGACACTGTAAAAATACTTTTATGCACTATTAGAAGTGAATGTGGAAATGGCAGAAACAAGGAGAGACTAGATTAAGGGGAACTTTTGAGTCTGAAAAGGCTGAGCTATGGACTTGGCTCAAAGT